CCTGACCTGTGGCTTTAACAGGTGAGCTGTGAGTTCAAGCTGGTCAGACATGTCTTAGTCTCCTCATCTTTATATAGGGTGTCCCCAAATTCTGGCAAGATTTGCAATTGAATTGAATTGCAAATCTTGGGTGAATTTGGGGACATCATATAGAATCCTCGCCTCTGATGCTTCCACCTTTACTCCTTAACATAATAATTTGTGTGAATATAAAATTCTTCACTCACAATTTCTTCAATGTACTTTTGCCATATCTATTGGCCTTTTTTTATTTATTAAAGGACTAGTGCTTCAGTGCATGAATTTGTGCACATTGAAAGGAAATTAATTAGGAAGAAATATTTTAATATCACTATTTGCCCTTTCTCTATAATAGAAGTGTCAACCAAATTCATGATCGACAATGACAGATGGAAACACACACATGTGATTGGTGCCAGCGAGAGCTTTATATGTACTGTGCCTGAAATCATTTGTAAGGTCCACCATTCCTTACTTCTTTTCAGTTGGGTCAAGTTTCTGAGCTTTCTAAATCTCTGTTTTCCGGCTAATGAAAAGAAAAATAGTGTTCCACCGAGTCTCCTATCTACCCGCTCCAGGACTTTTGTGAGGATCGAATGAGATGAGGCACGGGAAAATGCTTCACAGACATTTGGTTAAAGTGTGAAATGTTTCCACCTGGCTATGAAGCAAGTCATGTCTCTGGGCTGAAGAAACTTCAAGGAGCTTAGTTGCTAGGGAGAGGAAGCCAGAGTTGCTATGTTACTTCATTACCAGGATGGTGGAACATTTAGCATATTAGCTATATATATATTTGGCATGCAATAAAATCATCTCTCATCTATTGCCTCCACATGATATGAAATATGAAGACACACATTTCATTTGCATATTCATGCACTTGGCACTGTGTGCTCTCTCTGTTTCTCTGCAAAATACCCAGTCACTGGTCTTTAGGTCAATAGCCAATGTCATCCTCACCTCATTTCTCTTGAATCTCACAATATCCATTGGTCTTTATCTCTTTCTGCTCTCCATGTATCTAAATTGTCTAATTCCATTCTCTCTCTATTGCTTCCCACAAAATTTCCTCAATGTTGTCCTCCAGTTTCCTAATTCTATCTTCAGCTGTACCTTCTCTACATTGGACAAAATGTTTTAAGTGTGGCTAAATCACATTTTTACTTTCTTTTCACTTCTAAGGTATTTACCTAATTTATTTATATAATTCTATATTCTTTTCTATAATAACCTTTTTTGGTTGTTGTTCCAAGAATCCAATTTCCTTCTTAATCTTATCCCAGGTATTTAAATATGCTTAAATCAAAATGTGTTTTATATATCTTATTGTTTTCTAAAAAAATAATGATAATCCCCTTAATGACCCTGTGGACAGTCCTTCATACCACTATGTATTATTTTGTGAGTTTCTCTTTGATATCCATTACTGTAGGACACTCACCTCCCATACACCGGAGAGTTCCTTAAAGAGTTTTCCCAAGGCTGTCCTGACATTCATACCTGAAAGGGGGGAGGTGTCCTGCCCCATGTTGTCCACTCTCTCACACTTAGTATCTGACTGTAGTGTCTGGCAAGTTCAGCTGCAATATGAGCCTCACACTCACATTTGGACAGAAGCCCATGTTGGACTAGACTGGATTATTGACTCTGTTTCTCACACACAGGGGATGTGGCTCAGTGCTGACCATGGGCTGGGTCAATGGGTAGAGATATTCCTGTGCCCATTCCCAAGGCATGTAGAGCAGCCAAAGATGCATCCAACTCTCTCCCTGCATGTGAACACCTTCAGAATCTTTTCTGATCACACAGAGGTGGGACCCTCCCCTCTGATGACCCCTTGCAAGTCCCAGGCATCGGAGGCCACGCAGCTTGGGCCGATTTTCTTGGCTGCATATGCTTCTCTTATTGGGAACTTTTACTTCCCCTTTTCTTCATTGACTGTGCTATATCTTTCAGAAATATTATAAGTAGCATTTCTTAGCATTGAGAGCAGATGGGGGCTCTTGGGTGGCACATCCATTGTCCACGTTGACTGTGGAGTCAGATATCTTGATTCTCTCCTGTGTCACCCCACCCATCCTCATCCGATTTGGGTATCAGCAGGATTGACCCCTTCCAGGACCTGGGCAATACTGAACCCACAACCACTCCGAGGAGTTGGGTTCATAACAACATGTTGCAGATGGGAAAACTGAGGCTCAGAGATTGAATGTTACTGCTCATGGGCACAAGGGCCATGGACGATGGAGAAACATTTATGTAAGAATGAGTTTTCTCACCAACATCAGGCCACAGACCACTTACTGTTCCCTGAGCTGAGGACTGGAGGCCAGACTCACAGAATGGGGCACAGCTCTGCTTGAGGAACAAGGCACTGAGTAGGCAGGAGTGAGTCATAATCTTGCTCCCAGGAAGGAGAGGGTGGCTGCTGTGGTAAGAAAAAGGAGGTCATGAGGGGCCTTTGAGACACAGAAAGCCCACACTCTGGGGTCATGAGAAGAGTTGGTTTCCCTTCCCGTATTTCCCTGCATTTGCCTCTGTGCTCATTGTCACAGTGACATCGCCCTGAGCTGCACAGTGAGAGGGTGACAGTGTCCCTGCTAATCTGAGCTCTGCAGGCCCCAGGGACCCACGTCTTCCTGAAGCGTCTCCAGGACCTTGGTGATACTGTCCATGGTGCGGACCACAGGGAGCTGCTGATGGTCGGGTTGAGGAGGAAGGGGACCCCATGGGGGAGGCTCTGACAGGGAAGGATGTGCCCTGGGTCACCTCACCTGCAAGGCCTGTCTTAGGAGGCTCTGGGTCTATGTTTTGCTTCACCATGAAAATGAGGACTAGGGTGCTAGAGAGAGGTTGCTCCCTTTCATGAGGAACTGCTGACGTGACAACCACGAGAGAGGGCGGGCCAGTCTCCCAGTGCCCACACGCTCTGTGCCTGCCCAGATTGCACCATCGCTTTCACTCTGCACCGGAGCGAGGAGACACCATGACCTCCACCCTCATCGCTGTGCTTTTCATTGGTGAGATTTCAAGGGAGAGGGGAGCTCTGCTCTGCTCGCCCAGGCTCTGTGAAGTCCTGGCAGACACCCTTGAAGCTCTGGTGTCAGGGCTTCAAGAAGAACCCTATTTTCAATCTGTATAGAGAAGGAAAACATGTGCCCTGGGGTGAAGAGACCCCACAGGAGACCACAGACAAGGGCAAGTCCACACATAGGACAGAGCATTCTGCAGGGAGATATCGCTGTAACTGTCTCAGTCCTGCTGGCTGGTCAGAGCACAGTGACCCCCTGGAGCTGGTGGTGACAGGTGAGAGGACACTCAGGGGTCCCAGCCTCAGGCTCTGTCCTCAGGAAGGCGGTGTGCTCTCAGGGTGTCTCCTCAGACCCCAGTCCTGGGGGACATGAGGGAAGAGTGAGTCCATTTACCATGCTGCCTCTTCCTCTCCTAGGATCCTACAGCAAACCCAGCCTCTCAGCCCTGCCCAGCCCTGTCGTAACCTCAGGAAGGAACATGACCCTACAGTGTGGCTCAGGGCAGGGATTTGACAGGTTCATTCTGACTAAGGAAGGAGATCACAGGCTCTCCTGGACCCTGGACTCACAGCCACAGCCCAGGGGGCAATACCAGGCCCTGTTCACTGTGGGCCCAGTGACTCCCAGCGATAAAGGGCCATTCAGATGCTATGGCTGTTACAGGAACAGCCCCCAGGTGTGGTCACACCCCAGTGAAGCTCTGGAGCTCCTGGTCTCAGGTAAGGCCCTTTATTGTCCCTTCCATTAATTCAGGCAACAAATACTGGGGTGTTCCTAGGGACATTAATTTGAGTGCAGCCCCATATGAGAGGATGATGGGAGCACAAGGACTCCTGGGCCTGAGTCACAGAGAAAGAGAGTGAGACCTGATGTCCAGGCCAGGAGAATGGGGTTATGGGAGGAGCAGCTCCTATAATTCACATTCGGTCTCCCCAGGTGAGTCTGGGAAGCCCTCCCTCCTGACCCAGCAGGACCCCACTGTGGCTTCTGGATAGAGTCTGACCCTCCTGTGTCACTCTGATGTTGGCTATGACAGATTCGCTCTGTCAAAGGATGGGGGATGGGACCTCCCCCAGAGCCTTGTCCTGCAGCCCCAGGCTGGGCTCTCTCAGGCCTACTTCCCCCTTGGACACTCAGAAAGGCTGACAGTGCGGGGCGGGTATATATGCTAGAGTAGGAAGAATCTTTTCTTTGTAGTTGGCCCCCCAGTGACGCCCTGGATATACTGGTGGCAGGTGAGGATACAGTGGATTCAGCCCGGCACCCAGATCTGCACAGGCCCTGCTGGGGGTCTGAGGTGGTGAGGCCAGAATGAAGGTGCAGGGCCCCAGGAGAGAGACAGAGAGTGGGGGGGAGATGGGAAGATGGGGAGACTCAGAGAAACAGAGACAGACAGAGAGGAGAGCCCTCAGAGAGAGGCCTGGTGACTCTCAGGACAGAACAAGGTGGGAAGGCAGCCCTCACCCTCCCTCCCTCTCTCGAGGACACCTGCCTGACTGGCCCTCCCTCTCCCTCAGCCGGGTTTCAGGGTGGCCTCAGGAGAGAACGTGACTCTGCTGTGTCAGTCACAGGGCTAGAGGGGCACATTCCTTCTATCCAAGGGGGAGGGCCCGAATGCCCCCCTGATTCTGAGATCAAAGCACCAAGCTCAGCAGTTAGAGACAGAGTTCTCCACGAGCCCTGTGACCTCAATCCACAGAAGCACCTAGAGGTGCTCCGGTTCACACAGCTCTTCCCCTTACCTGTTGTCACTCTCCAGTGAGCCCCTGGAGCTCCAGGTCTCAGGTGAGGGGCCCGCTGACCCTGTTTTTTCTGAGCTCAGTCATTGAGGGTTCTGTGCAAAGAAGAAGTGAGGCTAGGATGGAAGAACTACAATAGAGTGCCTTGGGTTGAGCTGTGGGATGCAGGTGTGGAAGGCCTTTGTAATGCAGCCCTTGTTTTATCCAGGGACCTTCCCCAAACCCACCCTCTGGGCTGAGCCAGCCCATGTGATCCCCCTGGGAAGGCCTCTGACTATCTGCTGTCAGGGGACCCCAGAAGCTGAGGAGTACCGTCTGGATAAAGAGGGAAGCCCAGCACCATGGAAAAGAGAGAAGCGACTAAAGCCTGGGGACAAGGTGATGTTCTCCATCCCACACATGACAGAGCTTAATGTTGGGATATTTCGCTGTTACTCTCTCAGCCCTGATGGCTGGTCAGAGCCCAGTGACCCCCTGGAGCTGGTGGTGACAGGTGAGAGGACACTCAGGGGTCCCAGCCTCAGGCTGAGCCCTCAGGAAGGAGGTCTGCTCTCAGGGTGTCTCCATCTCAGAGCCACCCTGGGAGACGTGAGAGAAGAGTGAGTCCATTTACCATGCTGCCTCCTCCTCTCCTAGGATCCTACAGCGAACCCAGCCTCTCAGCCCTGCCCAGCCCTGTCGTGACTTCAGGAGGGAAGGTGACCCTCCAGTGTGGCTCAGGGCAGGGATTTGACAGGTTCATTCTGACTAAGGAAGGAGATCACAGGCTCTCCTGGACCCTGGACTCACAGCCACAGCCTAGGGGGCAGTTCCAGGCCCTGTTCCCTGTGGGCCCCGTGACCCCCAGCGATAAAGGGCCATTCAGATGCTATGGCTGTTACCGGAACAGCCCCCAGGTGTGGTCGCACCCCAGTGATGCCCTGGAGCTCCTGGTCTCAGGTAAGGCCCATTATGGTCCCTTCCATTGATTCAGGCAACAAATACTGGGTGTTCCTAGGGTCATTCATTTGAGTGCAGCCCCATATGAGAGGGTGAGGGGAGCACAAGGACTCCTGAGCCTGAGTCACAGAGAAAGACAGTGAGACCTTATGTCCAGGCCAAGAGAATGGGATTATGGGAGGAGCAGCGCCTGTAATTCACATCCAGTCTCCCCAGGTGAGTCTGAGAAGCCCTCCCTCCTGACCTAGCAGGGCCCCACTGTGGCTTCTTGACAGAGCCTGACCCTCCAGTGTCGCTCTGAGGTCTCCTATGACACATTCGCTCTGTCCAAGGAGGGGGAACAGACCTTTCTCAGAGCATGATTCCACTGGACACTGCTGTAGTGAAAAGTGTTCCCACCTGTGGGCACCACTCTGCAAGGCCTTGTGCTCACCTGGAGGCCTCCAGGCCTTCAGAGCTCACCTGAGACTCAAGGGGGACCATGGACAGCTCATGAGGAACTAGGGGATTCCTGCCCAGACTCTATGTGAAATTCATGGCTGCTCTCTACATTTAAAAAACACACACAACTGTATTGTTAAGAGTATTACAGATGCCCTCCCCCCTATTTTATTCTTCCTTAACCCTTCTCCACCTGGTTGCCTTCCTGTTTTTCCTAGGCCCTCACCACGCTGTTCTCTGTGTCCATGGGTTATGCGTATATGCATGTAAATTCATTGGTTAATCTCTTTCCATCCTCTCCCCCTGCCCCTCTGAGATCCATCAGTCTGTTCCATGTTTCCAGGCCTCTGGTTCAATTCTTTTTCTTCACTTTATTTTGTTCATTAGATTCCACATATAAGATCACGTGATATCTGTGTTTCTGTCACTAGCTTACTTCGTTTAGCATTATAGCCTCTGACATATTTTGCATACAGCTCTCTATTATTGCTTTTGCTATGAAAACTTTTAACAAATAGT